GGCTTAACCTCCTTTAATAGCCTTTATGAAGTCAGTTAATGGCCTTGGTATGTGCACTCAGGGCCTAGCGTTATTTGTTCACACCTTTTCTTTAGGCTTTTCTTCTTACACTTCTTGGCAAAACACGTGTTCCTCAGCAACTTGGGTTTTCCCCCTTCAGAGATCTGTGTCTTACTGAAGGGCATTTCTTGATGCCATTTCTGCACCATTTTTGCTTTTGATTGTGTGTGGTGTGCTTCTTGGGCTTGGCTGTGTCTGCACAAATTGCTAGCTCTGGAAGTACCTGGGAGGGGAAGAGGAAGAGCCCAGGATGCTTTTGAAAGTCACTGCCCATGCTTCTCTCTTCGTGCCTTATGGTCATGCAGCCTTCCCCTCTCTCACTGACTGCTCCCATATTCCATCCTTGACTTCCACTACCCGTTCTGTGGGCTCTGGGGCCTTGCTGTCTAGATTAGGTCTGGCCACACACTGCGGTCTTCTGCCTGGTTGTCACATCTGCATTTTCATTGCCTTTCCTGCTTCACCTGTGTTTTCTCCCCATTCGTTATCCATCCACCTGCAGCATCTGGGCATGTTTCTCCCATGATGAAAAAAACAGAAAATTCCTTAAAGCCCTACCTTCCCCTTACCAGACATGATGATGCTTACCTCTCAGCTTCTTTGTTTTATGCTCACTCACTGCACACGAGGTCCCTGGTTCTCAAATGTGCCTGCATTTGGGATCATGGATGGTGGCATCCCAATCCCAGAGGTTCCTGATTTCATTAACCTGGGGTGCAATGGGAGCATGGGAATTTCTCTAGGCCCCCAGATCATTTTAATGTGCAGCCAGGTCGGAGAACCTCTGCTTAGGTTTGTGAACTACCTCGCTGTGGCCCAAACTTGTGTGTTCTCTCAGTTCTGCCTTCGCCGGGGCTGCTCCCTCTGCCTGGGTGTCCTTTCCTGCCTATTGCTTTTGGCTACCTGTCCACAACTTACTCATAAAAGGAGGCTACTCAAGAGTCAGTGTTCCCTATGAGGCAGGGCAGGCCAAAGGAAGGTTTGAGGGAGATTCCACACTTAGAGGGCCAGTAAATCATCATTTGTAAGAATATGAGAGGAAGGGTGTTACCTGGAGAAGGGAAAGTAAGGCCCTCTCCCATGGAAAATGGGCTTTGTCTTATAATTCTGGCTGGCTGTGATTCTAGACCATGTTCTCTAACACAAAGGAAGATTGGAAATGAGGCGCTCTGAGGAGCCTGAAGGCCATTCCGTTAGTGAGCCTCTGTGTCCTTTATAAGTTCTTGGCATGGCTTGCTTGCTTACTTCAACATGTACGTACATCTACATATTATAGAGGGGTGGGGCCTCATACTGCTAGGTCTGATTGCTTTATTGGGCAGAGGCAGGGGGGAATGGAGGAGGTATTAAGACATTTTCAAAAACTGTACCCATCACGATGATCCCTCTCCAAAGATAGGAATAAAAATGGATTTTGATCACTTCTTTCTATTTATGGAGCTAAAGGAGAGCAGTTAGATGATCAGTAAAAGCATCAGTATGACACTTATCATTTCCTTCAATTCTCTGATTGTATATATACATTTTTAAATTTACCATGTAGTTGTAGATGGACAGCATGCCTTTATTTTATTTGTTTGTTTTTATGTGGTGCTGAGGATCGAACCCAGTGCCTCACACATACTAGGCAAGCGCTGTGTTACTGAGCTACAGCCCCAGCCCCTCTGATTGTATATGATACTCTTCTTTTTCTGCAAGCATCTTGACATTTTCATCTTCTGATTCATAAAGAACTTACAGATGTTACCTTAGAGGACTCTAAAGGACATATACACAAAAACCTAAGTTCATACAAGTAAAGGAGAAGTTTAGCTCAGCCCTAGTCCCAACCCTGTATTGTACACCGTTATGTGCAATCCCTTGTACTTACAATACAGGTTGCAATTCAAATTGCTGTGACTTGCAGATGCCATGAGTAATTTAAAGAGCACAAAGTCTGGAATCATTGAAGTCCCAACTCCATTGTTTAGTAGTGAGTGACCCTGAGCACATTCCTAACCTCTTTGTACTCTAGTTTCCTCATCGTAGAAATAGATGTGATAATAGTACACTTCTCAGAGGTTGGTGGGAGATTTAACTGAGTGACTCCTAGTGAAGCACTTACCTGGAGCTTAGTAAACACTTATTAAATATTAACTTACAAAAAAAGTGCTCAGGATATATTTTTTTTTCTGGCAGAGTCTTCATCTTCATGCTAATACTTCTGTTTTCTTTAAAGAGATTAGACTAAATGGTTCCCATAAATAAGATGCACGAGAAAGAAAGGACCCCTGCCCAAGTCCAAGTTTCTGTATCTCAATGTGCTTGACCAACACGATGCTCATGACATGTGTTTTAGGTCTAGGAGTGACAACAGAAGCCAGTGGCTATAGGCCACTGAGCTGGTTTAGTGGCAGAGCTGTGATTAGCTTTTTGCCTACCATGTTTCCCCAAGGTCAAGTCATGCATTGTCGTCCACGAGTCATGCATTGAGCACAACTTCCCTGTTTTCATCAAAGTAGGTTCTAATTTATACCAGGTCACCCTTTATTATCCTATAGTGCCTGGAATTAGATGGATATCAGAAACCTCTGGCATTTTTTCCCCTTTGGTACCAGAGATTGAACCCAGGGGTGCTTAACCACTGAGCCATGTCACTAGCCCATTTTAATTTTTTTTTTTAAATTTTGAGACAGGGTCCCACTAAATTGTATAGGGCTTTGCTAAGTTGCTCAGGCTGACTTTGAACTTGTGATCCTCCTACTTCAGCTTCCTTAGTTGCTGGGATTACAGACATGCCTCATTGCCCCTGGCTTTATCATTTTTTAAAAGACATTTTATCATTTTATAAAAAACTTTATAACAAAAATTCAATTCAACTTTTTCTTAAGAGTATTTGTTATTTCTCATCTTAACAAATATCTAACTGTAGGGTTTGGGTGTAACTTGCAGGTAAAGATGATAACAATGACTACATGGTGTAAGGATAACAACCCATTAATTAGAAATGAGAGTATTGCACAGTTATTTCAAATGAATGGACCTGCAAGTTTACAAAATTTTACCAAAACAGCATTCAAATTTCTTGCTTGAAAAGAGAAGCATTGAGTTATAAAGCTTAAGATATGGTGGATAGTGATATCCCTTTGTTGTTTATTGAGAGGGGAAAATCCCTTGTAATTTAATTGATGCTAAGAAAACAGCATGATCAGATATGGATAACATCTAAAACATCTTCATAAAAAGGAAGGAATTCACCGAGAGAGAGAATTGAGTAACTTTAAGATATTTGAGATCAATACTGTATATACCAGTATGTTCCTTGCTCTCAAGTTTTTTGTTTTTTTTTTCTTCTTTAACTCACAGCAGGCAGTGTTGGATGATGACCAGGCACATTGCCACACTGGGTCACTGATTCATCTCTGGGTTTTGAACACATTGTCAGACCAGGATAGGTTGTAATGCTCTTCATTTTTGTTGAAGCACATCATCACACTGCAGCTTCCTAGCATGGGAACTCTTTGGGTCTGACCATCATATATAATCAAACCACCTGCCAGGCGAACAGGGCTCACAGCAATCACAAGAAACAGTGATCACAATGAACTCATCAGGCACACACAGTCTGCATTTCAGCAAAGAGTGATGACATTGCTGAGATGGACATAGTTCATCTGTCCCTGATTAGGGAATTGCTTTGTTGTAACACCACCTGTAGAGCCAGGACAATGCTTAATAAAGCTGAGACTTGCAGCCTTCAACTGGATAGAACCTAACCAGATAAGCTTTGAGAAGATGCTTAACCTGATTCCCTCAGTACCTGCCAGGAAGTCACTGTAAGATTAGAAAATGTAATTACATCTGATAAAGTGATTGCCAAGACATTGTTTGAAGAGAGGGTTTAATTAGTCCTATTGTGTGAAGATTGCTGGAGACCTGGGCCCCGCTGGTCTCTCACTTCCCACAGAATGAATCTGATTGTATTATATTAGAATGTTTAGAAAGCAGCTCAAAAAAAGTTCCAGCACTTTGCCATATATTCCATTCAGTGTAAACTAGCCTCCCTTTAACATGAAGTCCTTCCAACAGGGTTCCGGGCTCATTTAGGGATTCATAGGCTACAGGTTCTCCAGTGCCCCTCCATTTGCTTCTATCCATAGCACCTGCCTTGCTGATCACTGAATTCATGATATTAAAATTCTCTTTCTCTGACTCTCTCCTCTGCTAGACTGAAAGACAGGTAGTCATTTATTTTGTATTCCCAGAGCCTTGCACAGAGTTTACCTTTTAAGACTCACTTCTCTCATGTTTGCTGACCTGAGCTAATAAACCTGTTCAGAGAAACCTTGAGTTTTCCTGCTGGTCAATATTGGAAAGTTAGGTGAGGTAGATCAGAGGAATCCCTGAGATCCCAGGAAGATGGGTTGACTATTAACTAAAACCCTGGAGGGGAGGAAGATGAAAGTGGGGGCAAATGCAGTGGAGAGGAGCCCTATTGTTGAAGGATATGGTTTACTCCCTGTTTGAACAGGAAGAGATTATCTTATCCACACTCTTTATTTCACAAATGATAAAACAGAGCTTGGATTGGTTCACATGGAAAAATTATATTTTTCTGTTTTATATATATATATAAATGTCATGGGGAATGTGACATTTGTCATGTGACATTTGGTCATGAATGTCAGAAATAGCATACATATTTCTATTCTTTTAACATCAGTTAGAAATGAGAATAAAACTTTAATGAATCAGGAGGTTGGTTATAGATTTAAAGATTTACTGAATCTTAATTCTAATGAATCTTTAAAATCAACCACATAGCTGAATGCATAAAAAGCAGGTACTTGGCTTTAAGATATTTTTTAATGGATAAATAAACACATTTATTTGAAGCTAGTTGTGTAGACTAGCTATACTTTTTAAGTTCTACTTAAGCCAGTGAAATATTTGGATATCATAAAAATATGGACTGCTTCATGAATCTGTGTGTCATCCCTGGGCAGGGACCATGCTAATCTCTGTTTTGTTCCAATTTTAGTATAGGGAGTGCCAAAGAAAGCACTGGCTTTAAGAAGATGTAACACAATTTAGAAGATGTCACCTTAGCCTTGTTCTTCCCAAATTAGGTTTGATGGAATGGTCTCAACAGGAGAAGTGTTTATTGTGGGATTTTGCCCAATAGATACTTCACCTCCCCTAACCCTATTTCCACCTTTTACCCCAGAGCTTAGATTTAATGGGCTCCTTGCTGGGCCTAAGCTCTCTCACCTGACACTTCCACCCCCAGTGAGGAAAGAAAGAAATGCAGAGGCTACAAATATGGAAAGCCCATCCCAGCTAGTCCGTGTAAAAAGATGGTGAGGGGTGTTCAGAAGAAGTACACCTGTTACCATTGGTCCTGCAAGGCCTATGCCGTGGACACAAGCTCAAGTACCATCCTTCCCTGAGTATTTGTAAACACAAAATCCAGATGACTTACTTTTATAAAGCACTTTTCACCTACAGCACTTCTCCTGGTTCCTTAACAATATCCCAGGGAGATAGCACAGTCTTTGGCCTCTTTTGCAGATGGAAGAAGAAGATAAACAACTGAAGTTGGAGTAGCCTTCCAGAGGTCCCCCAGGAAACACAGGAGTCAGGGCAGGAATGCTATTCTTCCAGTTGCACCTCATGGGCTCCCCAACCAGGCAAAGCCATGTATTGTAGATTCTGCAACTCTTCCTTCTCAAAGGAGCCAGTCTGGAACCCAAGACCCAAGTCTCTTTTTCCGAGTACCGTCACGTCTGGCAGGCATTCTTTTCATGGGACATTAGGACCAAGGTCAATCCGTATCAAGATCCTATGACCCAGAGAGGAAGGAAAAGGTAAAGATCACAGAACCTAGGGGTAACCCCAACATTCCCCTTTCTTGGAAACATCTGGCTTTCCATTTCCCTGCTGCTCCGTAGAAACCATCAACAAATAACCTGAAACCTTCCATAGAGAACTCACTTGCTCCATCTAGGGAAAGAGTACTAAGTGAAGTAGGTGATTTCTAGGCAAATTTCCATCATCCAGATGCCTCTTTATTCAACATTTCCAGTTGGCTGGTTGTCTAATCCTTGCACAAATGGTGGCAACACAGAGATGCCTTATGACCCCGATATCCATGTGCACCAAGAACACCTGGTGGCCCTCAGTTATTGTTTTGGTTGTTTTAGTCCAGGGATTTAAAAATGCCCACTCCAAGCTAGGGAAAACAAATCAGTCTCTTGCAATTGAAGTTGATCTTTAAATTCCCTTTAACATGAAAATATCCAACCATCCACTGATCTGCACAAAACCCTTAGGAGACTCTTCCATCTGTGTGGAGTATCCTCATATTTCCAAAGGTGGCTTTGCAGATACTCAGATTCATAGAATGTTCTTTTCTGTGTTATCTCTCCAGAAATGAGTGCTATCTATGGTTTTCATGCTTAATAAAAATCAAAGTAAGGACAGGAGATTTTTAGTGTCCCCAAACCAGATCAAGGAGACTGTAAAACCATCCTTACTTACATGACCAGCAGGGTGGCAGCCCAGTCAGTGACAGGAGGACCCTCCTCAGGGAACAGTCCCGGAGACTGAAAATGAGGAGAGAGACCTGAGAAACTAGGATTTGACCAACTCGTCCTTGCATCTGCCACAATGGGACATTGTTAGGTCTGGTTCCATGAAACAATGGACTTCGATAGGACATAATACCCATTCAGAGAGACAGCTTTACATCTCAGCTCCTCAAGCACCCTGAGCTCCTTCTTAATTTGCTGACTGCACACAGTGTGTATATTACAGATTATTTGGCCTAACTCTCTTCCTGTTCTCCCTCCCCCCATGTGTTTATGTGCGCTCTTCTTTTCCAGTAAGTGCAGGGTGGTTTTGACTTCTAGAAATGCTGGGAGATATATCATGGGCCTCTGCTGTTAAATTTCCCAGCATAGCTTTTCCTGACCATGTTAAATGAGATGAGTGCATCCATGAATGGACCCTCAGGGCAGGTCAGTTTCAATGTGTTTATAGCCCAATAGTGTTTATTCTCCAAGTATGTGGTAAGACCCTGGAGTAAAACTGTGCTCACAGAAAGGCTTGCTGAAGTATCAACCTGAACATAATAATATCCAATGTCATTGCAAGATGGTATATTCTGGAGCTGTTTTAAGGATAATATGAGAACTCTATTGGCAAATAAATAAATGTTACAAAAAAGTAGAATATGAATAGTTTATTCCATGACAGAAACTAGGAGATACCATGTGTGCACGTGGACAAAGACTTCAAGGTAGTAACTAAAGATAAGAATAGTTGTACATAATAAGGAGAATTATGTTGCTTTAAAATCTTTTAACATTTTAAGTCATTTTCTCAAGAAAAACATTCCAGTGGGGGCATGGTGGTACATACCTGTAATCCAGCCACTCAGGAGACTAAGGCAGGAGGATCAAAAGTTTGAGGCCAGCATGGGCCACTTAGTGAGACCTTGTCTCAAAACAAACAAGCATCCATGAATGGACCCAAACAGAATGGGGGGCTGTGGAAGTAGCTCCGTGGTAGAGTGCTAGCCTCCCATGCCCTGTATCTAATCCCCAGGACCGGGTGGGGAGGGAAGTGTGCAGGACAGGGAGGTGAAGGAAAGAAAAAAACCCACCATTCTGATGATAAAAGGACAATTTTTATAGGAATGACAATTTGTCCTGTGGTTCTAGGTTATAGTTTGTTGCATGAAGATACTTTTCCTCACTATTGCAAATAATATTTGCTTTGGGGATTTTCCCAGTGGTGGCCAGAACTAGGGGTTACTCCCTGAGCTTGAGGTAGTCACCAAGAATGTGACTGGAATGTGTAGTGAGGGGCCCTGGGTCTGGGATTACCTTTTCTTCTGTCTGTGACGTTGTAAGGGGAAAGAAGAAAAACAAAACTGAAGTTCTTACAAGTATGATCTCTAACCCATGACTGTTACATATTCATTTTAGGGAAAGGAATTCAAATAACAATTAAAATACCAAGGTCACTCAGTGCATAAATAGACAGGACTTTGAGTCCTATCTGTAGAAGGCCATATTCTTCCTGCTACACCACCATGCTGCCTAAAATGTGTTTCCTAAGAGCCCATTTTCTATTTCTCAAATGGAATGTAAATTCATTAGATCAGAGAGGATTCTGAACTGCAGGAAGGGCATCTCAACTTGGGTGACGGTTACATGTAGTAAAGTCCCATTTATTCTTTGCAATTTAGTTATCCCCATTTTGTCATGGAAACCAAGCACAGACAAGTTAGCAATTTTTGCTCGGTTATAGAGTTTGTAAATGGCAGAGTCAAGATATGAATATCTGGCCCCAGAATACAATAGGTGCTAAGAAGTACCTATAAGATACATTTTCTGCATTTCTTGGATCTAAGGCAAATCAAAGGATACAGGCATAACGAAGAAATATAAAAAACATAATAAATAAATAAAATAAATTAGTAAGTAAGTAAATAAATGAAAAGACTTCCTTAGTCTCTTTAGCTCTGGTTCCCTGAAGGTGTTAAAAAGTGGATCCTCCAAGGAAGTGCCTAGGGTTATCAGGAGATAAACTAATTGTGGCTTTCCTTGTGAGTTAAGCTTAGCTACTCCAGCTCTCCCAGGGACAGGCTAGAAGTGCAAGGTTGGCCCTCCCCCATCTCCTCCCTGGGAAAAATGATTTCCCCTATTTCCACCCTCAGGTAGATTTTACTACTTTAACGTAGAATGCTTTGTTTTACCTTTAAATGAAAAGAACTGGACCTGTAAGGTGCAGGCATTCAAGCCCTTTGCCTGTGATCACAGTGAAAATACATTCTATTTATAACCCAGTATAGACACAGGTACACACAGCTGAAAACAAAGTCATCCAAAGTGGATAATTCATTCTTTTCTACTTCAATACTTTTTTTTAATGAAGAAAATTCTAGTTATAAATCTTTAAGTTAATTGCAAAAAGTCTATTAAGGAACTTTCACTTTGGGTTCTTACAGACAAGTTTTAGAACTGTGCCCTCACACTGGTGTCTCTAGAACTATCTTTCTCCACTTTGATATCTATTGGCTATTTATCTAGGTGGTTAAGATGAGTTCAAATATGGAGGTATTCTACCATGGCTTAACATATTTGTAATCAGGATTGATAGCTATTCAGGGTTGGCCAACAACCATTGTGGAGTATATGGCTCTTTTCTCTTACCATCAAACGCTCAATGAATAACAACTGGCCTTTGAGCTTTCTATGTATAGGGTGCAAATATCCTGGTAGAATTCGTAGCTATTGGAAGGTTCAAATCCTGTGTTCAGGGAAATGGGGAAACAAAGAGACTTTGTGAGAACATAAGCCCATATTTCTTAGGAGCTAGGATGCTCTCTTTTTTTGCCTTCTGCAAGGAAGGAGGATGGGAATATTCTCCTAGGATGGTATCAGTTAGTGCTCATACCTCTTACAACCGTATGGGTGTCTCTGATTTGCCTCATCATTAGAGAGAACATGTTTGCAAAGGAAGCGTTCTTTCATTGTAGAGATATGTAAAGTATTTGTTAGATAATGAGTCGATTTGTTAATTATTCGGTGAACATACTATAAATAGTACTGGTTAGCAATATGCAAGACGTTTCTGTCCAAATTATAAGCATAAAAAAGGGAGTGCTGGAGAATTTTCGAGCTGGAAGTTCTAAAGTTTTGGTTCCAACCTTCATATGTAGTCGAAGTTCAGAGTATAACCTCCCTGAGGTCTTCTTGTGGAATAGCCACAGAGCTTTTCGTGATTCTAGTTATCTTCTTTCTCTCTTCCTTCATTCCTTTCTTTTGTGGAGCTGGGGGTAAACCCAGGGCCTTGTACATGCTAAGCAAGTGCTCTACCCTGAGTCACATCCTAATTCCAGGTCTAGCTATCTTTGAGAAAGGAAGGAAAGAAGAACTGTATAATTTGGGTAGAAGGCATGTTCCTCTGGAGCATCAAGGCATCTGCAAAATACAAAATACTACCTTCTACCTTCCAGGCAGAATCAATTACCTTGACTTCTGTACCACCTCTGGGA